GATTCTTCGAATATTCTTTGAATTAATTTCAGATTTCCTTTTGAATCTCACTCCTTTCCTTGGAATTCTACTCACATTGAAAGTCTCCTATGAATTCATTGGCATTTTTTATCACAAATTCCTTAGATTTCTACTCATAATTTATTTGCAAACTCTCCTGAATTTATTTTCCAAATTCCTATGAGGATGTTTTTTTTTTGTTATTATTAGATTGAATTGTAATCCTTGTTTTAGCATTTTCAAAAAAATCCATGTACTTATGCTCCGGATTCGTTTTCTCCAACAAACTTTATGAAATTATCTTCAGGATCCCCTTGGAATTTTCATCTGAAGTTCACAGGAGTTGTGCTCCTCAGACATTCTTAAGGGTTTTCATAAAAATTTACTTTTAATTAAATTTAGAGTTTCTTGAAATGCTACTCAAAACTATCAGGCTTCACAGGAAATCGAAAATTCATCAGAACTACCTTGAAAGCAGATAGCATTTGATGTTTTTCTGAAAGAATTTTTCCCAGAACTCCCTTGGAATGAGGTCCTTAGAAATTATAACAAAATTCCACGAGCCTCTAAAACTGTGCATGGAATTTGACTCCAGACTCTTGAACATTTCTTGAAGTATTATAGCTTTTAAGACCAAAACTAGTTCTAATTTGAAATTTGTAGAAAATATGCATGTTCCAAAACCAAAAAAAAAAGTAACATTGCAAGCCTCTGATTTTTTTTTAAATTTAATTGTTACTGAAGATTAATACAAGGTCTACAAAGTTCAAAGTGTTAATAAAAATATCGAGAAAATTTAAATGCTAGTATTTTAAAATTCATTATTTTTTTTTTAAATATCCTTAACAAGAAAATTGTTCAATTCTCTGAGACTTTCAGGTATTTTTTAGAAAAAAAAATAAAATTTCCTAAGGATACTCGATTTTCCAGGTTTTTGCAGTAATAGTAGACACCCGGACTAATACCGTGGGTTTGACCATAAACTTTCTAAATAAAAATTAAAATTACGACTACTTTTCTTCTCTTAGGTCACTTGTTAGTCACTATTTTTACAATTATAAGTCACTATTTGGTCACTTATTTCTTCAACATGGTCACTAAAATCACTATTTTTGACAGCAGTGATTGCTACCAGCCCTGTGGGAGTAAGGATATTTATGCAATTGGCTGTATCTGGTAGGGGGATATTGTAACTTCTCACTGGTATTAGCTTATTAACCATCAACAGCAGAAACTATATGAATTATCGCGTATCTCTGTTGTTCATTACATACCAAACAAAAACTTGATCATATTTTGTCGTGGAGTGTTGAGATGCTCGATGACCCCAGAGGAATAGTTTTTGCTTACTGAGCAGAAAATCATGGGTTTAATCCCAAGCTCTCTCACAACAGAATAAACCACCATCGCTGGGTTTCGTGATCATAAAGTGCCGTAATAACCAAAAGTTGAAATGTTTAAATCGTTATCACATTGGAACTATTTCTTACCTCTCAATATACCATAAACTTTGAAATGCACCAACACTAAATCTAATCTACGAAACATACCGTAACAACGCTAACGATATGAAAGCATCATTATATAATTCTAAAATTTGATTCAAAGCAGAGCAGAACTTTCAATAATGAATTCATATATAATTAAACAACTCATTCAAATTTCAAATTATTTCCAGCTTACACATTCCATATAATTTTCTAGCATCGTAGTCAACTCAATCCAAAAAAATTCCAACCACCCACTTCACTCTCATCATTATCCCTTCCCATGGCGATCATGTAGCCTGCATGTGGCGAGTCAGCCATTACCGCTCCTTTACTGTCGGCCTTGGATTGACTTGCGCTCTTACTGCCCCACCCTGCGTTGCAAAATGAAAAATGAAAATGAATCAAGGCAAAAAAAAATATGATGGGATTAAAAACAAGTGTTTCATATGTGAAATGCAGGGAACCGGAAAAAATGCTGGAAAAACCCGGAAAAAATCTGGAAAACTATACCTCGTTCTCTCTTCAAATACAATAAGATTGCAAGAACCTTGGATCCAAAACAAATTTGAGCATATTTTAGAATGAATTCTAGCGATAACACCAAGGTTTTTCAGAGAATATGTTCTGGGGAGCTTTAGGAAAATATCTAAGAGCGTTTTTACTGGAACTCCCAAGAGTGAAGAGGATTCCTGTATTCGTGAAAAAAACCAAGGGAAGCGAATGTTGAGGGTACAATTGCTAAACAATTCTGCGAAGGGAAATTCCGAGCATAATTCCAAGCGCATTTTGAATGGAATTTCTAGAGGATTTCAATGGGAAATCCATGCAATTTCCCGAAGAATTTAGAGGGAACACCAAGATCATTCTGAGCAAAATTTGAAGACAATTTTCGGCGGGAGAATGTGCCCCAAATAGATCAATTTTTGGTCGAGATTCTGAGATGAATTCCATGAGAGCTCTGACTTGAATGCCATATAATATTAAATGAGAAATTTATGCAATTTGTTACTTCACTGCAAGCGAATTCTTAGGAAACTTTCAAAGTGAGCAATTCCAAGGGAAGGAATAAAATTCAAAGAGTATTCTTAAATGAATTCATTGAAAATTCTGAGAAAAATTCCAAAGAATTTCTTACTGAGGAGCGTTTCAAGGTTATTTCGAGAAGAATTGCGTGGAAATTGAATCGCGAGGATGATTCGAGCGAATTTCAACCAACTTCTTTCTTCTTCTTCGCATTTAAAGCTTATTGCTTGTCGCATATTAGCTTATTGCGTGCTCTCAACTTAGTGTTCTAGATGCACTTCCACAGTTATTAATTGAGAGCTTTCAATGCCTGCACTATTTTTGCATTAGTATAATTGTGTGGCAAGTACAATCATACTTCTATGCCCAGGGAAGTCGAGAAATTTTCCAAACCGAAAAATTCCTAGACCGGACCGGGAATCGAACCCAGCCACCTCCAGCATGGTCTTGCTTTGTAGCTGCGCCTTTACTGACTGAGCTAAGGGAGGCCCCGAATTGCAATCATGTTCCGGTGATATAGTTTTTAGATAATTCAAAGGAGAGTTCCAAGTAGATTTCTTGAAAAATTCTATAGGAAATTGTGGAAAATACAAAGTGAATTCCGTGGATAACTCCAAGGGAATTTTCCGGAGAAATTTCCCGGAAAATCATATTCAATACTGCATACATTGTTAATAATTTGAAGAGCATTGCAGATTGAATTCAAAGAATTCTGCAGATTATTTTCAAGAGTATTATGGAGCAAATTATAAGAAAATTCTAGAAAGAGGTCTAAGATGAACTCTGACGGTATTCTGCGATGATTCAAGCAAATTCATTTACACAAGAAATCCTGTAGAGATTTTCAAGGGTATCAGGATGATTCCAACATAAATTTTTTTTTTCAAGATATTGGACAAACAAAAAGAATTAAGATCCAGAGTTTAAAAACAAATTTTGAGATTTCTTGTTTAGCGAATTTTATGGTCCTGGATTAAGAAAAGTCTTCAAGACTCAGCTAAAGTATTCGGACACCGTCAGGGCCATAGTGATACATCCAGAAATGAACAGAACCTTTGATATCTTGATAAATTAAATTTCATGAACAGTTGGCGCCGGTGGTGTAGTGGTAAGCGTGACTGATTTCTCACCCCAATTGGTCTGGGTTCAATCCCAGCCGAGGTCGGTGGGATTTTTCTGAGGCATAAAAATCTTTGGTCACGTCTTCCTTCGGAAGGGAAGTAAAGCCGTTGGTCCCGGCCCATGTGTGTTTGAATGGGTGCGATATCCTACGCAGGTGTGGAAGCTGCCTTCCTGCACATTCGATTTTCGTCCATGGATGGCAATCGATGTCCGTCGGTGATTGGCACTAGATTGTTGAACAGAGACCGACGTAATAAAGGAAAGAAGTAAATTTCATAAACTGGCAGCCCTATTGCGTGTTTGGTGTATATTGGCTTAAATTAACTACTCATAAAGTTCATAAATGGATCCTTGAACCATTTTTCAAATTCATATGAATAAATAAGGCCAAATATTCCGGTAAATGGAGGATTTCGGGATTATTCTTGAAATAACAGACGGTCATAGAAAAAAAATATTTTGTTTATTCTATAAGTCGATAATTCTATAACTCGATGGTCCCTTCAATATCGAGCTATGGAGAGTTGACTGTATTTAAATTTCACCTTAAGAGCACTCATTGGATCTGGAAGAAGATAGAATTTATTTGTTTACAATGCAATGGTAATGGAAGAGCGTTAGAAAATTCTCTTATGCAGATTTTATTTTTAAAAAAATCAAGTTTCGTAGCTGGTTACTCATGGAGTAATCACGAGTAACCACCATGATAAGCCTGTATGCAAAACCTCTCCTTTGCAAGTCCTTTCCATCTATGACCACTTGAGGATGCCTAACATTCGACTAGTTCCGTCAGCGAATTCCGTTTTGTGACATTATGTCGTTTGTTTAAGAAGTTCATCTTTTCGCCTAACCTTGAACCCGTACTAGTGTCACAAATAGGTGTTAATTCCAGTGTACCCACTGCAGTGCCAACACAGTAAGTTGTAAAATTTATCGCAAATTACAGATTTCCTGAGAAACTCTATAAGCGGCAGCTTTTGTGTGCCTAGAAGCGTCAGAACAAATCCATCGAAAAGGGAAATCCAATTCACACAGATTTAGCAGCAATTGAGCGACGTTAGGGAAACGTAAATATTTGACCACTCTATCCGATTCGACGCGCTGACGACGACCACCAGCAATGCCTGTTTGTGTCGTCATCGAAATTGAATGCTATTTGGTGACAAATTCACAACTTACCACGCGGAAGAGCCATCCCAGGTGTTCCAAGCGAAACCGGTTTAGTCCGATTTGAATGTCTCCCAGAATGTCATCCACGTCCGCGTTCGAAAAGTCAAGAAGATGTGTTTCGTTTGAGCAATAAATGTTCTCCACCGCAGCAACCGAGATTAACATTATGCTGTCTTGTTCTATTTTTTTCTGCAGGAAATCAACCGTGCCACCAACCACCAAGAGCTGAAAAAGATCGCCGTATACTACTTCGACGGGCAAGGAAAAGCGATCCGACCGATGGTAGCCATGCTGATGGCCAAGGCCCTAAACTATCACATGCACAACGAGACCAGGTTGGTTTTGGATTTTCCTTTCTCTTTTTTTTCAGTGTGTGAAGTGCGATTCCTTTGTTTCTCTAGAATTATACGGAACGTAGGTGTGCGTAGATTATTTTCTGAGGATAAAAACGCACTTTTGTCCGATCATTTAGACTTCTGAGGATTTATTGATTATGATTTTAAAGTGATTTGCGCCCGGTGGGTAGGCAATCGAAATGTCGGTACCTTTCCTGTGTACGTCACTGTGCAGCTACAATTTATTACCGGTTATCAACACTTTTCTGATCACGGTGATTACGACCCCACACGGGACGGGACGATCCCCTGGATGAGGACAAAGAAAACTACCTGTAAGGACGGGGCTATTGTGATTTCACCTTGAACCCTTGATGATGCTGGGAATTTCCCACCCGACGTGCGTTCCGTCCGCTAGTTGCATGGTTCGAAACTAGTTCTGAAACTAGTTGGAATTTTCCTTGTATCGGCTGTCGTTTGCAATTATGCGAGTGAGTGACCCGAGCTTCTTGCGCATCTGATCACCTGCGTTGGTACCGGTTGAAGGACACCGAGGATCGTTGACGTCAGCTGGAGGATTGTTCTTTTCTGTGCATCTGATCACAACACCCGAGAGCACGGAGAGGGGCTTGCCATCTTTTGTGCTTGGGACGGGAAAGTGGCCTGCTTCGCAGGGCGGGAAGCCGGGAAATGGAGGGTTGACGTCAATGCCAAGGCAACCGAAGCCAGTTCGAACCGGTTGCTTGATTTGCGTCTGGGTTCGATTTCGGGAACTGCGATTAGAGGAAGTGTTTAAGAAGATTTAAGAACACGTTTCGGGCAAACGATTTACTCGTTGGTATTATTGGAAATTTAGCAGATGGCTTTTGACATTTTCGAGATGCTGTGATTAATACGACTGACGTCAAACGTGGACGAGTTGGGGTTGCGTCAGTCGTGTAGGTTGGATTTTGAAAATTTGTTTTGAGGAAATATAAACTAAATGTCTGCGCTACATGACCTTGCGCTGGATGCTTGTTGTTTTCCGCATTCTTTGTTTACGGTTTGAATTAGTGGGATTTGCATTAGAAAGGAGTGACTGTGATCAACATGCAAATCAGTTGTAGTCACTCGTGGAACGCGTGGGTCAGCAAATCCCGATGACCAGTTAACAGGCTACTGACGGTTTAAACGGAATCAATAACAGACATCGCAAGTAACATTGCAAACTTTATAGAGGTTTTATAGCATTCTACAAGTCGAAAACATGGTCTACAGAACCCTCATAAAACCAAAATTGTTACTTGGGATTGATCGGAATCTTACGCAGGTAAATTCTACTGATGTTGAAAAGTTCTTGAATTCTGAAGCGACCTAGAAACTTTCGATTCGTTTGATAGGGGTTTGTAACTAGTATTCGACCCAACTCCTACTAGGCATAGAATTTAGTGAATTTTGTTGCAACAATTAATTAATGGCTCCGTAAAGCTAGCGCGATTGAACTTTTCAAATAAACGAACTAGATAAATAAAAGGGTTTTTAACGACCCAGAAGTAGGAGGATTTGTTTGTGAAACAAGCGAAAAAATCCTTCAAGACAAGTCACTCATGAAAATCATTGTATATTCCGAAGGACCATCAAAGAATGGCTGGAAGACAAGTCTTGAAAACTACGTAACTCAGACTCGAGGTAATTTATTTATTTATTGAGTCTTCGATGATTTCGCACAACCTATTTTTGAAACAGGGCCTAGTAATATTAAAATCGAAGTCGTCACAAACAGCATTAAAAGCTCTAAGGCAGGAACTTAGCGGATTATTAAACCCATAACTAGTCCTGTGACTAGTTATTCAATTATATAATCGAAAATAAATCCAGAAGACTTAAAAAGTCTGCGGATGTCGATATGATGTTGATTTCGGAAGTCTCCTCGGGAACTTCAAGCCTTTGCAAAGAGGTATGTGATAAGCTGATAATTTCCAAAGTCCAAAGAATCTCCAGGAAAATTTCAAAAAATCTTCTAAGGCTTATCCAGTAGAACTTGGGGGGAAGTTCCACGAAAATCGCTATTTTGGAGGAATCTCAATGAATTCGTCGAAGGCAGGTCTAGAGACCTACGGCTGTGGATTCCGTAGAAAAAATCCAGTTGATCCAGAAGAACCGATAAATCTAACGTAGTCAAGTGGCTATTAGGATCAATCCAAGACTTGAAATTCTAAAGTTTCATGATGGGAACTTTCATGTCGTTGGATAAGGGTTCAAAGGACATTTTGGTATATCTAAAAAAAATGAGTTTCTTGGAAACTCCAGAGGAATTTCAAGTCGAAAAACAGTCAACTTCATAGACAATCTCAGGGAATCATGACAAGCCGAATGATCTCCTAATCAACAATCCCGATGACCTAGAGAACGGATCTAGAGCACTGAACCAACTGACTATTCCGGAGAACTGTCCACAGGACTCCAAAAGCAAGTTCTGTGGACTTCGAAATGTTCTTAAATTCTGAAGCCTCCTCGGGGCTTTCAAGCCGTTGGAAAAGGATCCAGAAGAGTCAGAGGAAGCCTCCAAGGAATGCTCAAAGAGCAAGTCTAGAGGTTGACAATCTCTGGGACTCTTTGCAAATCCCTGTTAACCCAGTAGAAAATTAAAAATTCATTAGACCTTGAAAGCACTTCCAGAGCACTCAACTGAAAAGAATCAATCCAGAAGACTTAGGAAGCTACAGAACTTCAAAGGGAAACTAGCTCATCTTGGTAGCAAGTCCGGATGATCTCGACACTACTGTTTAAAAGATCAGATAAGTTCTTCGAACATATCCAGATGTTGATCTATCTGATTAGGAAAATTTATTTTGTTTGGAATAGTTTTTGAAGACCTAAATTGGTCCTAAATAAAACATAATTATAAGTCCACGGGCTTGAAATGTCCGGAAGCTTGATGGTTCTGCAAGTTCGGGAAACTCCAAGTAATAAATCACACCTCTTGACGAAATGCTTCATGGGGAGTTTTTAGAGTGGGTTAACTAATTTCTTTAAAAATTCTCCCCAAGAACTGCCCATAATTTAAAGATAGAATATATTTTAGAGATAGACAGTTATTTCTCTCTTAAATTGCCGTGACATGCACAGTAACTATTTGTCATCATAATTTTTCAAACAGCTCATGATTTAAAGATGGAAATTTTATCCTGACCAGTTTATCCATTGTTGAACTTTTGTCGTTCTGAACGACCTCGTTGTTCTCTGTGCTTCTCCTCGGAAGCTCTCTGGATTTGTCGTCGGAAATTTTGTGAAGTTCTCATCTGATGCTCTCTGAATTGTTCGTCGGAGATTTTGCGAAGTTCCTCAGATGTTCTCAGAACTTCTCCTTGGAGCTTCTCTGCGTATGTTCGCTGAATTTCTTTCCGGAAGCCTTGAACTTCTCCTCGGAAGACCTTTGAACTTCTCGCCGGAGGTACTCTGAGCTACTACTCGGAATTTCTCTGAACCTCCCCTTGACAGCTCACTGAACTTCTCCTCTGATGTCCTCTGGACTTCTTGTCGGAAGTTCTGTGAACTTTCCCTCTGAAGTTTTGTGATCTTCTCCTCGGAAGTTCTCTGAACCTGTTCTCGTCGGACGTACTATGAACATCTTCTGAACACCAGAACCTCGCATTGAAATTTCAGAGAACTTAAAAAAAGTTCTGTGAGCTTCTTGGAGCTTCTCTTCAGAAAATCTCTGAACTTCTCGTCGGAAGTTCCCTGAACTTCTCAGCGGAAGATTTCTGAATTTCTCATCAGAAGTTCTCTGAACCGCTCGTCGGAAGTTCTCTGAACTTTTCGTCGAACTTCAGGCAACTTAGATGAAGTGCTGTGAACTTCAGGGAAGTTCGTTGAACCTTAGGGCTTTTTAAGAACTCTGAACGTCAGGGCAGTTCTGTAAACTTTTCGTGGGAAGCATTTGTTCGGAAATTAGGCGTTCTGGGAACTGTTCGTTGGATGTTCTGTGAACTTCCCTTTAAGATCAAATAATTTCGCCTGAAATTCAGAGACTTTTGCCTGAAGTTCAGAGAACCTTCTTTTAAGATCAGAGAACTTCCCTTGAAGTTATCAGATCATTCATAAACTACATAGGAACTCTTCAAAGCTCCTTCGGAGTAGTTCTGCGATCTTCAAGGAAGTATTGGAAACTATAAAGAATTTCAGCGCACTTCAGAGTTGTTTTATGATCTTCAGAGAAATTCTTCAAACGTCAAAAATGTCTGAGTGGTAAGCGTAATTGCCTCTCACCCTAAAAGGCAATCCCAGTCGGCGCCGCACATTGTGACGAAATCAAAAATAGTGGAACATGGCTATTTGCGACGAAACTATTGAGTGTAGCATTTTGATGTCTTTTAGAATGTTACTTCATTTTTTGATTACTTTAATTGAGAAGTGAACATTTTTGATTAAGGGGGGTATGCACTAAGAAAAAAAATAACTTTTTTTATGTCTTGTTGAAATTGATGAGCATCTATGGAAACATTGTAGATGAAGTAATTTTAAGGAACTTTTTCGAAGACGTCCATTTTCTATCTCTCAAGTGGACGGATGAAATTATAGGGTGAAAATGGAGTACTAACGCTAGTACCCCCTTAAAAACCTTTTTTACCATAACTTTTTAGTTTGAATTTTAAAATTCCGGCCTACCTGTCGAACCGTTCAAGAGGCATAGCGAGAGGGAGCGCAAATTTCCGGATGTTCCCAAACGTACTCTGAAAATGCCATTCGTGACGACCGCGACCTGTGGTACCAGGCGGTTAACGAAGAGCTCAAGTCCATGACAACTAACAATGTATGGAAGCTGATGACGTGCCCTGTATGTGAAGCCACTATGAATGAAGGGGGTGTTCCGGCTCATGGAGGACGAGACTGGACGACAAGTTTGATACAAGGTGCGACTGGGGCTTCCTTCAACGCACTAGAATCGACTTTGAAGATACATTCGCATCAGTGGCAAGACTATCTACAGTTCGCGTGGTGCTCGCTGTTGCTGTCCATCGTGGTTTTCGTGTCCATGAACATCAAGACAGCTTTCCTACACGGAGAACTAAAAGAAGATCCAGATATGAAGGTACCAGAAGGCGTGAAAGCGAAATCTGGCAGCGTATGTAAACTACAAAGGTCACTGTACGGTTTGAAACAAGCCCCACGGTGCTGGAACGAACGTTTCAACTCAACTGGGCTTTCATCGATTCAGACATGTCTCTTCACGTAAAGATGATGAAATCTTACCTTACCTTACCAATCAGGCTAAGGCCTTGTTGTCCTCTGCTGTCCAAAGAAGTCGTCTCCACTCTATTCGATCCATGGCCACAGTTCGCCAGCCTCGTAGTCTGCAGGTCACCTTCTACTTGGTCGATCCACCTTGCCCGCTGCGCGCCTCTTCTTGTTCCTGTTGGGTCGCCTTCTAGAACCATTTTCACTGGGTAGTCGTGCGGCATTCTTACGACGTGCCCAGCCCATCGTAGTCGCCCAATTTTTGCAATGTGGACGATGGCTGGTTCTCCCAGCAGCTGGTGCAATTCGTGGTTCATTCGCCTCCTCCACGTACCGTCATCCATCTGCACTCCACCGTAGATGGTACGCAACACCTTCCGTTCGAAAACACCAAGTCCTCCACGAGCATAGTCCAGGTCTTGTGGCCGTAAAGGACCACCGGTCTAATCAGCGTCTTGTAGACAGTCAACTTCGAGTGGTGGCGAATTTTTTTTCGATCGGAGCGTCCTCCGGAGTCCAAAGCAAGGTTGCAAAGACTCATTTCAGCTAAAACAATGTTTTTCTAAATTATGAAATAATTAGATGCCATGATCAAATTTTGAATTGGTAGGATACAAGAAGAGGTTGCAAAGAATGTGTTTGACATATTAAACCTGTTTATTTCACTTCATGAGAGTCACAATCAGCGATTTTTCACAAACTCACTCACTCACTCACTCACTCACTCAGCGATCAGCAAATCGCTGATTGTAACTCATAGAAAGCAAAATTTACAGGTTTTATGTTTCCAACGCATACTTTGTAACCTCTTCTTATAAGTTACAAGTAAAACATGCCATCATACAATCTTTTGGTTTTATTATTCCGAAAAACATTATTTTAGCTGAAATGAGTCTTTGCAACCTTGGTCCAAAGTAGGCACGACTCTCTGCCATAATGCGTCTTTGAATTTCTCTGCTGGTATCATTTTCGGCGGTCACCAGTGAGCCCAAATACACGAACTCATCGACCACCTCGATTTCGTCACCCTCAATCTGAACTCAGGGTGGGAGGCTAACATTGTCTTCCCTATAGCCTCTCTCTTTCTTTCATGTATTTTATCTTTGATGCGTTGATGGCAAGTCCAATCCGCCTAGCTTCAGCCTTCAGTCTGATGCACGTTTCCGCCAAAGTTCCGTGCCATAATGTCAATGTCATCGGCGAAGCCAAGGAGCTGGATGGACTTCCTGAATATTGTGCCACTCGTATCTATCCCAGCTCTTCTGATAACACCTTCTAACGCGATGTTGAACAGCAGACACGAAAGTCCATCACCTTGCCGTAACCCCCTTGGAGATACAAAGGGACTCCAGAGTGTCCCCGATACTCGAACAACGCACATCACTCGATCCATCGTCGCCTTGACCTATCGCATCAGTTTATCCTGATTTGAAATCGATGAACAAATGATGTGTGGGCACGTTGTATTCGCGGCATTTCTGCAGAACCTGCCGAATCGCGAAAATTTGGTCCGTGGCACCCATGAATCCCGCCTGGTATTACCCCACGAACTCTCTTGCATATGGTGACAGACGGCGGCATAGAATTTGGGAGAGTACCTTGTAGGCGGCGCTCAGCAGTGTGATCGCGCGGTAGTTGCAGCAATCCAGCTTGTCGCCCTTTTTGTAGATTGGGCATACGACACCTTCCATCCACTCCTCCGGTAATATCTCCTCCTCCCAAATCTTGGCAATTACCCAGTGCAGCGCTCTAGCCAGTGCTTCACCACCGTATTTTAATAGCTCACTTGGTAGTTGATCTACACCAGTTGCCTTGTTGTTCTTCAACCGACGGATCTCCTCCTCAACTTCTTGAAGATCAGGGGCCGGTAGCCTGTCGTCTTCTGCGCGTGCTCCAAGGTCTGTTTCTGCTGCTTCACCGTTGAGGTGCTCGTCATAGTACAGCTTCTACCTCTCAGATGATGTAATCTAGCTGGTGCTTTACGTGGATGATCTATTAATAGTTGGAAGAAACCTTAGAACAATTGAAGCACTGAAGCACCGCCTTTCCGATGAGTTCAGCATGACCGATTGCGGTGAAGCAAAGTTTTTCGACTCAACTACGACGGCGGAGAAAGGTGTACTGATGCTGTCCCAAGAAGTTATTGCCATCAAGATTCTGAAGAAGCTCGGAATGTTGGACTGCAATTCCACCAAAAGCCCAATGGAGGAAGGACTTCAGCTGAGCCGTGAGGGAGACCATACAACCAAGCCATATGGGGAGGTACTGGGTAGTTTGATGTATCAAATGCTATGTTGTTCGACCAGACTCGTGCTACCGAGTCAGCTATACGGGACGGTTTCAGTAAACACCAATGGAGAATCACTGGCAAACACTGAATATGCAGATACCTGAAGGGAACAAGCACCATGAGTCTACGCTTCAAGAGGAATGAAGATAGCAGACCACTTGTCGGATTCGTAGATGTGGACTGGGCAACTGATATAGAAGACCGCAAGTTAGTAACGGGTTTCCTGTTTAAGGTGTATGGAACAACGGTGTCTTGGGCCAGCCGCAAACAGTCAACTTTTTCTACGTCTTCAAGCGAAGCAGAATACTGCTGTTTCAGAAGCAGTTTGGTTAGCTGGAGTTCTAGAAGACCTCAACGCCAAGACATCAACGGATCCTGTCACACTGTACGAAGATAACCGAGGCTGCATAGGACTAGCCAAGAATGCTGAATCGACATCAGGGATCATGTGGCTGCTGGGACCCTCAAATTAAAACCAATCTCTACTTTGGATGTTTCACGGTTCCAATACATCAGAAGCAAGGTTGGAGTCACCGATTGAGAGGGGGTATTAGCGATCAAGTCATCGGTGCTTAACGAGGACCGTTCATCACAGCAACCAAAGTTTTTCTAATGTACTGGAGATATTAATTTTTGTGTTATTCTTAACTCAACATCCATTCTTCCCGCATAAACGCGAACCATAACTTGACCTTACCGAAAATGGTAAAAAATTGTTTATAATCCCTGCTAAACTTTAACTGAAATGGTTATGGAACTTTACATGAACGTTTGTGTGATAAAGCTTTGACCTTATGTATTAGGGTTTTTTGGAATTGAACCTTACAAATAATGGGTTGTTACCATTCCAAATTCTTATTTTGTCCATATATGTTCAGAAAAGGAATTAAATTAAAACCTTTTTATTTATGTTTTGAGAACTTTAATGGTAATGGTTATGGTAGTCAGTAAGATCAATGGATGGTTTTGTAACATCGATCAACTTTATGTGGAATAGATCGCGAATAGGTTGCCTGTAAATTAATGTAAAGTTGACCGACAATACAAAACCATCAATGGACCTTACTGATTACCATAACCATTACCATTAAAATTCTGAAACCATAAGTAAAAGGTTCTAATATAGTTTTCTTTCCAAAAGGTTAAATAAGGTTAAAAGATTCACACAAACGTTCATGTAAAGATCCATAACCATTGCAGTTAAAGTTTAGCAGGGATTATAAACAATTTTTAACCATTTTCGGTAAGGTCAAGATATGGTTCGCGTTTATGCGGGTTACCAGACGTTCAATAAACTAATTATAACATAAAACAGATCCGGTTATCGAGAAATACAGACTTCAATAATAGTATTTCATTTGACCTATTGATCCAAAAATCGGTCCAGTGGTTCAAAAGTTATGATTTAATTTTTTTAAAGAAAAATGATGATTTCTTGGATAGCCCTAACACGGAAAGGGCCACCCTAACGGCGAAATAAAATCATACGGGGATAATATTTTTGGATAACGAAACCAATTACCAATTCACTCTAACTTTTTTCAATTTGATTGCGGAATATTAGCAGTAGAAGTACTGTCCTAGTTTTAGGACGCTGGGCGAATGTGGGTTAAGACTAGTTTTAGCCTGACAATATTTGACGTCAATTTGGGTGAGTCGCGAGTTCATGCGATTTCCTAATGAGGGTCGCAATCAATCGTTTGAGAACCACTACTCGATTGAACTACACATCGTCTAAATGTAATCCGGAATCACGTTCCACAGCCACAGCAGTATCGATGCATTCTAAAAAATGTCCTTTTTCCTTCTCTCTTCCTCTTTCTCAAAAAAAATAAACAGCAATGTAGTGCACGCACAGCGACAGATCGCCATGATTTCGGAGATGATTCACACCGCCAGTCTGGTCCACGACGATGTCATCGATCAGTCCTTTGCGCGACGGGGTAAACCTAGTGTAAACGTCATATGGAATCATAAAAAGGTAAGTGCTGCTCTAGATCGCGCTATAGATCCACCTGCCCAGAGTTCACTAAACACACAGCCCTCGATGCTTTCGTAACCGCCGGACTTTGGTCAAGGTCTACGAACGTTTCTTCGATCGCATTCCAGCGACCGATGACGACGACGACGACTACGACGGCCACCAGGGAAGGAGTGGTGAGAGCCTGATCGAAGATCCGGTTTCTCGGAGTGGAGTAGGTACGTGTGTCACATTTGTGTCGTCGTCGGTCGGTTGGTGGGGTGGCGACAAAAGCAAAAGTCCAAGTGTAGAAATGTTAGTCACGCCCGCTACATACCAAGTCGTACTCACTGTCAGGTGAAAAGTTGATGCAGGTATTTGCGACGACGACGCTCTCGGATGAAACTTCTTTCGGTCAAGTCCTCTCCGCGCCGTGGAGGGTTTTCGGGTCATACCGTGTGTGTGTGTGTATGTATCTGTCTCTCTCTCTGCCACTGTCCCCGCAGTGGGACGAGGAAAGCAGCACTCTGATTTTGTCGCATTTTTTCCGAAAACAAAAAAAAATCTGGTTTGTTACACAACTTCTTATTTCATCGCGGCGCAATTTTCGATCCTAGCCCTGTTTGCCGTTGGTAGTGTTTGGCATTTCTTTTTCCAATGCCTACGTGTGCGTGCGGCAAAGTCGCAGGTTGCAGTGTAAAGGAGATGCTTTGTTTTAACTGAGCTCTTGACGGTTGAGTACGTGAGGCAACACGTGTGTGCTTGACTTGAGCAGCGGGGATTGATGTAATCGTAAGTAGACGCTGGGAGTTGCAAATTTTTTCCACCTCTAAATCTGCATGGCGCAGATAAAATCAAGGTCAGTTGATTGAGAGGGTGTGCTAAACGGCTTGGCAGCAACATTGAATTCATCCATCATCATCGCAGACGGGGATTTCCTGAATGTGTTGACCCCCTCGGATCGACGACAGACGCGGTAATTTAGTGATTCCCTAATTGGTCGTTTGACGTCTGCTCACCGCTGATGATTCGACGCGAGATTTACTTTCAAAACCTGCAAAGTGCTTGGAAAATTCGCCTTAAACTGGCGTTTATGGCTGTCCGTCCAAGCCGCAGAAAACATCACGAGCGCGCGCGCTGACCGCTCTAATGAGATGCACTTTGGCAAAAGTCAATGTCTTATTTTATACACAGCCAGATTAGCTAGCTTGTGTGCGGCTTGGCGGCTGTTGTTCGTGTCTTACCGGGCAGAAGTGGTCAGCGGCGGGGCGATGATGAAGGTTCGGGGTCAGATTGGTGCGGCTGCGAGCCGCAAGTGCATACTGTGATTGTTGAATGGTTCGGATCATGTGAGCAATTTTTCGGAGGTCTTGGCAATTGCTTTGAGACGGCTTTCTACAGCTGAGGTGGTGCGATTTGCTGTTAAAATTGAATCGGCATGGAAATTGGTCACCTGACACCAGCTTCTGGAAAATAGAGTAAAGGTGTGCTACCTGCTTCCATACAAGTATCCTTTTGGATATTTTCAATGTTCTGTTCAACGTTCTGGACATCGTTTACATGAAATTGACCACTTGTTTCCCGAAAGGTTTGGTCGAATGCCATTTTGCCGAATCGCTGTCCTGAACAGTGTTGGGAAAATATCAAAAAATCAAATCTCACCAAAGAACAAGATCACGCTTGATTTTCGTAGACAAAAATCAACAAGCAAACAACAGCAGTTGATATTGCAAGCTGTGATATCGCAGCTCAGAATATCAAGCTAACAAAACTCACCAGCTGCAAATCTCACCAAGCTGTGGTGAGATTGAGTTTCATGATTTCGTCTTTACACCCGAGCGCAACCGAAACTTCCATTCACGGCTGGCAGCAGTCGCTTCGTGTCTGCCATCGGTGAAGAGAAAAAATAGAGACCTTCTCCTCCTCCTAAGTAAGTTTTCTGGTGCAACGGAATCATTTTTGCGTCGATTTAACTCTCAGCTTCAACTTCACACGTTGTGAATAGTCTCGCAATATCAAATGAGCTTGTAAAATCAATATCAAGCATGATATTTTGCTCCAATATCAAGCGTGATATTGAGAGCGTATGAGAAGCGAAAAAATATCAATTTGCTAATGATTATGCCATAACTGGTCCTGAAATGCTGAAAAATCGTGAAGCTCCCTGAAGTAAACGCTTTCAACGTGTCCGTGTTTCGTCGTTCTGAACTTGGATAATTTTATCGAATTATGCGATCTCAGTAAAAGCCATATTTTCAGAGACCCTAGTTAAATTTACAAGACTAATATTTTTAATGAAGTTCAAAAATTAGTCAATTTTTCCTACATGTCCCATGATACTGATTCTGATCTAAAAATCACTCTAAAACGTCTGTTTAATGGCCTGATAATATCATGCTACGGTTATTTGATGAGTCACATGATCACGTTTTTTCGAATTGAAAATTGAACACCTGGCTCCCTACTTCGAAAAATACGGAGTAGCCATTATGTTCATTCCGGTCACATTTCTCTGATGTAATGACACAGGGCTGGTAGTGAGTCACTTTTTAGTGACTTGGTATTTTTTTTCAAGCCAGTCACTAAAAAGTCTCCTTTTTTAAGGTCAAGTCACTAAAGTCACTTTTTCTTGTAATCAGTCACTATTTTCAACTTTTTCTGCGTGAATTTATTGCAATATTGATCATTATTTGCTTTGTGACGTTTAATCGTCTTTCTCTATCTACAGGCTGTCTACTCATTTTTCTAAATAAAATTTCCTGAGTTTTCCAGGTTTTCCCAGAACTTTAACGAATAAATTCAAGGCTTATAATAAGAAAGCTTTTTGTTTTAAATGCGTTCAAAATATGCTTTTTCTGGAAGATCAACAGTAATTAACCCAATTTTTAAAGAAACAAGTTTTTAATCAAATCCAATGAATGCTGAACTTAATTTTTCACTGTTCACAGTTTAAAAAAACGTACTTAATTTGAGTAAGTCCAAAATCTAAATCCATTCAATGTCTTGTAGCTTCGTATTCCATGTGCAAGTTCATGATATTGAAAATATTCAAAGTGCCTGAATTAAAGAAAACATGAAATGATTTATTTCAAGTTCGTAATTAACTTTATGAAATATTAGAGATCTTCATTGCAGTCCCATTAACTTCACAGCAATTGTAGGAACTTTGAAGAAGTTCTGAGGAATGAAAGGAAATTCTAGAATTTCATTAAAGCTCCATAAACAAACTGCACTCAAGCGATCGGATGGCTTCACCGATGACCCCGAAGAAACTGCGGAAGCGCTAGCCAGTTTTTACAACGATAGATCTGCGACCTCCAGTTACCCTACTTCTTTTCAGAAGACTAAGGCAGCAGCTGAAAGAGAGTCCATAGATGTTTCGCCAAACACGGACGACGTGTACAACAGCGACATTACCCTAAGCGAACTTCTGTGGGCTCTCGAGAAAGGGCGAGCTGCCTCGACAGGACCCGACTTGATAGGGTACCCAATGCTTCGACGTCTACCTTTGTCCGTGAAGATGACACTGCTAGAGCTGCTCAACCGGATCTGGCGTAATGGAGAGTTTCCCACCAGCTGGCGAAATGCAATCGTGGTGCCCATTCCGAAGCCAAACTGCCTCGATACCGGACCCGCTGCGTTCCGTCCAATCTCGCTCACCAGCTGCATGGCGAAGCTGCTTGAACGCATCATAAATCGACGACTGATCACCGAGCTAGAGTCGAGCGGGCGACTCGACAAACGACAGCACGCTTTCCGTGCCGGGCGAGGCACCGACACGTACTTTTCCGAGCTCGAGCGAACGCTTCCAAGCACAGACGAGCACTGTCTGATAGCATCCCTGGACCTGTCGAAGGCTTACGACACCACCTGGCGGCGCGGCATAATCCGCACTCTGAGGTCATGGAGATTACGCGGTCGGATGCTGAACATGATGAAAAGTTTCCTCTCGGAGCGAACGATCCAGGTATCCGTTGGGCGGCATATGTCTCGCCAGTATCCGTTGGAAAACGGAGTTCCGCAGGGCTCTGTCCTGTCAGTGACGCTGTTCCTCATCGCGATGCAGCCCATCTTCCGAGTAGTGCCCAACGGAGTCTTCATTCTTTTGTACGCGGACGATATCCTCTTAGCAGTGCGAGGTGCTAAAACTGAAGGCTTACACCGAAAATTACAGGCTGCCGTCAAAGCCATCAACAAATGGACGAAAAGCGTTGGTTTCACTGTGTCGGCAACAAAGTCACATGTCTTCTACTGCAGTCCGAACGCACGACGGGATCCCGTGCGAGATATCTCTATCGAGGGAACTCCCGTGCCAAAGACCAACCGGCTGAGGATTTTAGGTGTAACCATGGACCGAACGTTATCCTTCAAACCTCACTGCAATATGGTTAAGAAAGCATGCGAATCTCGGTTACGGATTTTACAGATGATCGGTGCAAAACTTCCACGTGGTAATCGGACCTCTCTGCTGCAAGTTGGGTCAGCCATAGTTACTGCGAAGCTGCTCTACATCAAATGAGTTAATAACAAATTAACTCGGTGATGGCCGAAGCTGGGACTCTACCCTTCGAACTGCTAGCAGCACAGACCACAGTACACATTGCCATCCGAATGCTCACAAAGAATCCAAACAGCAGCACCCTACCTCTGATTACACGCGCTTCAAATCGCCTCCAAGAATTAACCGGTTCAACGCTTCCTGCTGTCGGTTCACTCGTGAGGCAGAGCAATCGCTTGTGGCACGCACAAAAACCGACGATAGTGTGGGATGTGAAAAGAAGCATACGCGCTGGAGACCCACCGGAGAAAGTTCGTCCAGTTCTTCGACAATTACTGGAGACTCGCTTCCATAGTTCAACCATCGTCTACACGGACGGCTCCAAGTGTGAAGACACGGTAGGAGCTGCATTCTTCTACGAAGGGCTATCTAGGACCTACAGTCTTCCGAACGAATGTAGTGTTTTCTCTGCGGAGGCCTACGCTATTAAAATGGCCGCCACCATCCCTAATGTTCAAAATGA